ACAGAAGAGAACAGAACAGAAGAGAACAGAACAGAACAGAAGAGAACAGAAAAAAAGAGAACTGAACAGAATAAAAACTATATATGGTTGAATAAAAAAATGTCTTTCATTATAAAAAAAGGTTTTAAGATACTTACAATGAAGAGACATTCTTCGGTTCAAGAATCAAAGTTTGTACCTCACGAACCTCTTTAATTCTGCAAACCATCGAGCCAGGCTTCGTTCGTCGACAACACGAACTATTTCTGGGTAAAATACAAGAACTACCAACTCTAAAAAGCAAAAATATTACTGTCCAGAGAGATAGAATCGACCAAGTGTAGAAGGAACGTTTGGACTGCATTTTGAAGACGATTCTCAATGACGAACACGATTATACGAAAGTCTTTATGCAAGCACAAAAACAGTCCGCAATATTTGGTTATTTCTCCACACAGCGGTAGCTAAGTGTTTCACCTTTTAAGATCGAGTTCTACTATTTACGATAGTTCACCTTAAGCCTACGAAATGTTACAAACTAATTAGAAAAGTGTCGTGACTGACGTCCAACTGTTCATTTTAGTTTTAATTAAAATATTGAATTCATTGTGTACGTAATTGCAGAAATAAAACCTATTATTTACTGGTATGATTACAGATCAAAACCTATCTAAACTAAACAATGGTATATATTTTTATATTACTGATTTCAATTCAAAAATCCCATAAAATTTGAGAAAGATTAAGCAATACCGATGGCTGTCTTTGCAGTACAGTTCTCTTTTACTTTAGAGAAGGCGAATTATAACTTATTAGAAGGAAGTTATAATCGGTAACTAAGCGACGCCGGTGCTATTTGGCATGGATAAGAGCGGCAAATACATTCATAGTGTACGTAGCTTGAGTTTTTATTGAAAAATATTCGTTTTTATGACAGGCAAAGTTAGTTTGATTTTTACTGCATTCTTCAGTTTTCCTCCTTCTGTAAAATGTTTGAGTTCAATGCAGCATGCAATGAACTCAGCCATTGCAGCCAAGAATTGTTGTAACTAAGTGATTTCAATGATATTTTACAGCGCTTCTCTATCACACGCTTGAAATCATACAATTTGCCATCGTGACGAGTTTTGGTGGACGTCAATCAATGCGTTTCCATGACATTCCATAGGCACGTCTCAAAACATTTTTAACGACTTCGCGCGTGTAATTGAGAGCGCTGTAAATAGTGCATTTTGTTACAGTTGATATACTGAACATGGCTAACTTAAATTTAATATCCTGTAGAACCAACAGATATCGAAACAATTTGCCGCTGTAAACTAAATGAAAATTGGATTGAAGTAAGAACGATTTTTTCTTTGCTCCAACTTGGCCATTTCCCCGCCATTTTATCCCGACATGCGCAATACTGAGATCATTGTTACACGCCATGGTTATTGCTACGAAGCCTTGACGCTTGTCATTCGAGTTTCGGGACACACGCGAGAATTCTGTTGTCGTTCGAACAGCACCCTAATATTTTGCATGCGCACACACTGCAATCGCTCTTTTAGAGCCTGGGTAAAACRATCGTTCCTGAACGCGTGGAGGAATGGGTTTAAAAACGAATTCAAGCTCAAAAATATCACCGGTAGAACTTTCGCCGTCATCTCGAAAACCAAGTCGTTGAGATTTGTGAGAATTCCGTAGTGAACAAAGCTCATTATCAACCCAGAAATAATTATAGGAATGCAGAAAAAGAATATGTTGCTGAAGACTAATAAAGCGATTCGTTTCGCGAGCTTTGACTCTCGTCTAACGCCGGCGGTCTGAGCTGTTCGTTTGACCGTGATATAGATATGGATGTAAAAAATGAAGGTTAGGAGATAGAAGGATAAAGCGAGCCCTACTATGATAACTGTGAAGACCAAAGCATCAAAAATATCAATATCGAATCGAACTGGAATGCAGACAAACGTGAATCGGTATAAGTTAAAATACAATGCGTATCCAGTAAAAAAGATCGCTACCAGCCAACATACCAAGATCAAAATGGCTGCCATTTTGCGATTGATTCTTATATCAGGATTTAGACTGTAGACGATGACAAGATATCTCTCTAGTGTTAATAAGAATGTTGTTATAACCGACCCAGTCTGTCCCAGCATCCACAGGAACCCCATCTTCCAACAATCATGACCAGCATTTGCGTATAAGTAGTCAAATGCTTTGCTATTCAGATACGTAGTGATAAAGATGGTGTAAACACTGAGGAGGAAATCACTCACAGCCAGGTTACACACGAAAAGCATCGAAATATTTTGACGAAGAGTTTTAGAAAATAAAATATTGAAAATTACGAGGAGGTTGACGAGCACTCCGACGTAACCAAAAGGTGATTGGACGTTGATTCCAGCTAAAGTTTCATCCCAGCAACTGTTATCTCTGTGGATCAGTTCTTCAGTTCTTCTGTAAAGATAGCACTTATTCTGACACTCAAACTGAAACGACGTATTTCTTAAAAAATTCCCAAGAGACGACAAAGCCGTTTTAAACTTAAATTTATAGCACTTTTCTGATAGCCAAGATATTATTTCCATAAGGTCCAAATTCGTCCTGTTGCTTCGGTAAAATAAGCAGTTTTGACACTCCACTGACCACGTGAGACCTATAATCCGTTCAAGCATGCGCAGTTGCAACATCTTTTTCTCTGGTTTCCAGGCCTCGATGCCTGTAGCGTCCAATACAGAAAGCGAGGGGAATAATCCAGTTAAATTCCCTTTGAAATGACGTAGTGGATTCATACTGATATTTCTAAAAGATAACAAAGTCTATTTAAGTTACGTTATCAGAATCTGCGTTACTTCTGGGCAGCGTACTAGAGAAAAACGTGTGCGCATGCGTGCATTTCAGCACGCCGTTTTTCCGAAAATGAAAGAGTGTTTTAGCGACGTGAAAAGAAAAATGATCGTTTCCTCCCAATTGACGACTAATTAATGAAAGATTTCAAGAGAGAGAGACCAATAGTATATACTTAAGTTTCCAGAAGTGACTTTAAAGTTTTGGGGTAAAATATTTGTTATATTTCGGGTAATATCTCCTTCTAACAATTCAACAAAATGGCTGCCCGAATATCCAAAATGGCGGCCACTTTTTGCAGTGTATTCGTGTATACTCACAGCATCGTCAGATTGTTAAGACCATAGAAAGCTTCGTATGTCAAAACTTCAATGTCGTTGTACGCCAGTGAACTGAAAACGAATATAGCCGTTAAGGTGCTCTAATTTTCTATGTACAAAAACGAAACGAAACGAAAGCAAAGCAAAGCAAAGCAAAGCAAAGCAAAGCAAAGCAAAGCAAAGCAAA